GGATGTAGAGAACCGTCGATCCAGAGATCGCTTCTCTGCAGAGGACGCCCTCGGACCGTGAGTAAAACAGTCCAGCGCCCTGCCTGAGGGCATCCATGGTGTTGACGACCGCCAGGGACATTTTCTCCCGGCCCTACCTCCCGGTCGGCAAAATACACAAAGGCATTCGCGGTGTGGTGCCCGGGGATAAAGCAGGAGTCCAAGATGGCAAAGGCTCGATCCTTATAGGTGCGGTGGTAGAGCCTGCGTGGAATCTTCTCCAGGGGCAAAACCGGCCGACCTTCCCAGGTGGCAGAATGCTCATCCATCTCTGCTTCTGGGATCATGCTGAACCAGGCCTCCGCAAGGATCGAGTCAGGCACCCCTTTCATAGCATCTTTGGAGATGCCTTGGTTCGCCCTAATAAGGGTAGGGTAGCCTCCTAGGCCGTAGTACTCGGCGAGGGGGTGGTTGCGGTCAATTCGCAGCTGGAACCTGCTGCGGTTGTCGTTCTTGACGACAGTGAGGAGCATCCCGAGGCCATAATCCTTGTTCGTCTTCTTGTTCCAGGCCTCGAGGATCTTCCTTGTAGAGCACCACAATCCATCGCCCTGCAGACCTGGGACGACCTTGCCGCGGACAATACCGGACAAGGCAGTCTTGTGATGCTGGGGAATGTGGATATACTTGAAGTTCGGCATCTCGTCCTGAAGGATGTCAATCCACTCGGCCTCACCTTCCGGTGGGCATAAATGGATTGTGTCCCAGTCGAGGCCCAGCATGTCGACGAGGCACCAATCGTTATCGGTTGCGTAGTAGCCGGACTTGATGGGCTCGTCGTAGGCAGCCTCGTGTGGGCCCTTCTTTGCCCGCTTGGGGGCACTGGACTCAGGGTCGGTCCGCTGACGACTGTAGACCTCCCCCCTGGCCAAAAGCTTCTCCTTAGTCTCCCGCGCCGTTGACGACGATGACGGAACAACGACGGCCTCCCCTGGACGGGGGGCATTTTCCTCGCTCTTCTTGATCATCTCGTCGTAGTCCTCGCGGGTAACATATTCCCCATCTCCCAGGTGAACGTGGTCCTTGAAGTCCCGGTGGACAAAGTGGTTCGGCGCGGTGTCGGGGAACTGCTCCTGGGGTCCTTGGAAGTAGATGTCGTCCCACGGGTCAGCCTCGACAAGCGGCTGATGTGTGGGCTCTACTCTTCCTCTACGGAAGTGGTTCAGGAGCTTCTCCTCCACCTGCACGTCCACAGCGAACTTGACGTTAGGCTTTGAGACGTGGCCGTAGTTCTGCAGGACCAGGTCGATGTCGGCTTCCTTGAAGAAGGAGCATTGGTGACGAAGGACCATAATCCTGGCGGTAAAACCCAACCACCTCAACAGCTGCAAACGATAGGTGCTGTCCTCCTGGAAGTGAAAGTGGTCGAATTTGCGGATCTGGCTCGCAGGCGTATTGAAATGCTTGACGGCCAGCCCAAGTTGGGCGGCGTAGTCGAGCAAATCCGCCATGATGGTACCCCAGTCGCGCGGGAGGTAGTAGTTGGCAGCGTCGGTCGCAGACGTGAGCAGCACAGTACCCACTGACGCCCTTGACTGTAGATCCGCCAACTTGCCTATCTCCCGGAGAACCTTTGGTCCAATGAACTCCCAGCTCCCCTTTGCCATGTGCGGGTAACCACGAAGCCACTCCGTCTTGCTCTTGAAGCCTGGGTCCAAAAACAGACCTCTGTCGCCGACGAACTCGTTCCCGTTCCAGATCATCATGAGGTCAATGCTCACCTGACCACTGGCGCCAGTTTCACGCTCCAGTTGGGTGAGTTTTCCCACGGCGAGCTCTACGAGCCGCGTGAGATTCGCACCCCATGTAGGAATGTACTCAACGCCAAGATGATGTGGGAACGCATTGCCGCGGTTGGCCTTGATGTCTGCCAGCAGATCTGTCTTCCAATTTCCTTCAGTGAGGAACGTAGTTGTAGAGTCTGCGACGATGACAAGGTAGCGCAAACGGCCTCGAGTAGACTCGGGCTGGAGCATGGCCAAGCCTTGATCGGTGAGCTTTCCAATTTTGGCCACCAAACCAGCCTCCCTGACGTCACTGAGGGCATATTCGCACGCAAGTGGCCGCGGCAAATACTTGTAAAAGTTGTTCACGCTGGCTTCATCCTCCTGGAAAGGCGCCATGGTGCGGTATTCGGAAGACAATGAAGTCTCCCATAACCGCCGATCCCACCACTGGCGCAGGACCTCCGTCGGTGCAACGATTCCAGCGTTGGTGGCTTCCATGTCCGGCGCGCAGAAATCTGCCGCGAGAATGCAGCAGGCAGCTAATGCGTTAGTTTGTTCAGTTTTGCGAGTGCAGACGTGTTTGTGGTTACACGAAAATTGTTGTTGTGCACATGCCGCATAATTAGAACGCCTATCGCAACAGCTTTTCCAATCAATGTGGATGCAATCAGTCATGGCATGTGAATAGTTCTCACTGTCCTTAAGGTCCTGGCCTCTAGACTCGCCATGAACATGACTGCGATCACACTTGTGCGCTGCCAGCCGCTGCAATGGAATCGACGACGCAATGGTCCAAGCTTTCCTTAGTGGTAATCCTTGGTGATTCGTAATCCCCAACATGCAACCATCGCAACGGTAGAACTCAAGTCCAAGGTCATTAACCATATGCTGAACATGGTCCCACTTCCAATAGTCGCAATCCTTAGGGAGTTCGAAGGCAACCTGTGGTTTGTACTCTTTGAGCTTTCTTATGAATTTTCGGAACTGCTTGAGGAGTTTGCGAAACAGTTCCTGATGCTGTTCCCACTTTGGGCTGTCAGGCGTCATGCGATTCCACGGACAACCACCAGTACACGGAAGCGACGCATAAACTAAAATTGGCTTAGACGCTCCCCCCTCGTCGCAGAGGGTACTAATTTTCTGAACAACTGAAGTCAATGTAGAGTCTTTCAAGACGTCATCCTCACTGGTGACTCGCAACACATAACATCCTTGACGTGCGCTACGATCCTGCCCTAGTTTGCTGTTGGGGGAGCAACAAAACTCGACTATGATTCGTTTGAACCCCAACGGCCTCGAGTATTCTCGGGCAGAAGCAGCGCTGGCCGCACGTGGGGGCAGCCTGAATCCAAGCGACTTCAAAGAATTGAGCTCTTGATCTTGCAGTGCGTCTTGTGATCGGGAGGTGTACGCAACAATGGAGAAACGTGTTCCAGTGAAAGGTAACACACAGTGTAAATTTCGCGGATCAAAGATGATGGCTTTGTTCAGGGTGGACACAGCACGACCCTTAAGGCGCTTACCATTGGGGCCGACCCGAACAATAGCATCTTCCGATGAAACAAGGGGGTCCGCAAACCACAGTTCACCATCTTTGAAATCCCCGACACTGAGGGCAAAGCTCATGCTATCCTTAGCATTCCCATGGTCCTTGTGCACAGAGGCACCAGTACAGCTATTAAGCAACACCGAGTTCCATGTGAAGTCCTTAGGAGCATGGGCTTGTACAACTCCATTTAGGAAGCGGGCAATCTGAGGCCACCGACGTGTTGCCTTAGTCACCCCTTGCATTCCTCCGTAAGACCGCTGCCCAAAGATATGGTAGTAGCTGCGGTTGTCTAGCTTAATCATCTTTCGCTTGGTTTTGTTGGGGTACATGATCTGGGCTACACGCAATAAAGCCTTAGTACTGAAGTCACGGTCCTTGGTAAGCTCAGCTGCGACTGCGCAAGGATCGCCCGACGGCTTCACCACAGGGTGAGCATGAACGACAGGCTTGTTGATGAGATGAGCATCGGACTCGTGTGCCTTAGACTGCTGTCGCCCCTGAAGAGGAGCATCGACGTGCGCGATGAGCCTAAGAGCATGTTCCCATTTACCTCGGTCAGCGAAAGGTTTGGTAAAGATATCAGCTACTTGCTCTTTGGTGTCAACATTAATCATTTCGAAGAAGTTACGCTCGAACTGTTGTTTGATCCAAGCGAACGAAATGCGTTGAGTCCGATCGGTGTGACGTAGTTTTTCGCGTCACCTTTGAGGAGAATGGTGATGGTAGCTTGGTTGTCCTCAAGGAGTTGAACAGCAAACTTGGGGCTAAGGTGGACCTTGAGGCCGTTTAAATCGGAAACGCTTCGTCCATCCGCCCTACACTCACCATAACGGATCTCATCAAGTTCAGGATCAATTCGTGCAATGATGTCGTTTTCCCTTTGATTAGATTTGGTTTTCGGCCTAGCTTGGTAGCTGGCGGTCCTACTCGCAACCTCACGCCACAGGAAAATCCAAAGACTGAGGCTGGGCAGACCCTGGGCACGAATACCTTGGTTGGCAGCCACAACCTCACTCTCCGTACTTGAAGTGGTGATGCTGGTCTGTTTCTTGGAAAAAGCATTTAGGGGAAAGTAAGTATTGGGGCCTACCAAGTAAAGGGCACAACCTGAAGTGGATTTACTGTCGTGGCTACCAGCGTGGTCAGCATCGCAGAACATCCACAACTTACAATCCTGAATGCGATCCCCTATGAATCCCCTCATCCGAACTTCAAGAGAAGAGTTTATGTAACTGATCAACCTGTGCAAAGCAACGTCACAGTCGCGAGACCACTTGGTGACTCTGGATGCCAGTGCCTGAGTGGCGCGTAACAAGTCCCACCTGGCCATTCTCGCAGCGAACAAAACCTTCATGAGTACACGGCTAGCAATAGGTTGCAGCTTACCACTAGGTTCATTGTTCTCCAGAACTTTTGCTACCCGGTTCTCATGAAAAGGAGTCGCTACGTGCTTCAGGGATTTCTTGTCGACCTTGGCCAACTCACAGTACCTATCAACACAGGACACCAAGAAATCCCGCATGTCGTAGTACACAACGTTCACGGGCACAGTCATGGAAGGGGTCTTTCCCTGACTGATAGATTCAGTGCTCTTGAACTTACTCTGTCGTGCTTCTCGTTTAGCTTCGGCTTTGGACCGCTTGGGTTTATTGTGCTTAGCTGCGAGAGCATGAGAAAAGTCCTCGTCACTGACCTCTGTGATAGGGAAATATGTTCTCCCAGTCCACCAACCTGATTGGTCCGCGGGGCCCCCCTGATTCAAGTCATCATGGATAGGGTCCCTACCATCATCAAACACCGTGATTCGTTGACAGCTTATGTGGGGAAATTTCGACACGTCGTCCTGCGTAGGCACATAAAGTTTCCTACGAGGATAGATGTGATGCCTAACGACTGCAGCTAACTCAGCGTCGACCTCCCAGAAGTCCTCTTTGCGGTTCGGCCGGACTTGGTAGTCGGCAGCTGGGCTAGCGTGCTTCTTGTCGAAGACGTAAGCAAATGGGTGGTCCTCCCGTGAAAGCTGGACCTGATTTTGCTCAACGTGATGACACCCGAAGTACCGTCCCAAGACCTCGGCTGGTTCCATGTCAATCACCTTAGCGATCAACTCCCAACCTTTGTTGATTTTGTCTTGGGGGCCGGCCATCTTGAAGTCATCAACGTACACAACAAGCAACAAATCTAGTTCAGCATGGTAGAATACAGAATGCCAAATGTCGGGTAGAACTGCAGTAAAACCAACACTCTCTAACTGTTCGGTACAGTACCTTTCCCAGATACCACCTGAGTCAGGGTGGCCGTACAAAGCGAGCCTGAGTGGGCAAACAGGATCTTCATACCCAGACCATTCTTTAGGCCATCTGTTTCGAGGGAGACGGACCCACGTTTCGATGCCTTTAAAAAGGGCTTGTGTGTATGCAGCGATGCCATCAGCCTGCTGTTTCACGTACCCGGGTTGGCTACCAAACACATCGATGATTTTCCCGGCCTCCATACTAGCGGGGCTTGATCCTAGTTCGGCGAAAATGGCGTGATCGTGATTTTCGTCCTGGACGTTGTTGCCCTGGAAAACACTACGACCCTTCCATTTCTTCTGGGGGTGCCCGTCCGGGAGTTCATCCCCCTTGACCGAACAAATCTCAAAGATTTTCCCGAAATGGGCCTTGACATTCTTGTGTTTGGCTTCCGCGGCAACATCCCGGTATTCTCGAACCTTCTTTTCGAGCCAGCAAGACTTATCGGCAAGTTTCTTCCATTCTCGGTCCATGGCTTCTTTCGCAGCGGGAGTACTTTCGATTTCTTTAGGCCCGACAACCCTGGCAACAGCAGCAAACATCTCACTCGCAACCTGACCAAGTTTGGCCCAATACAAGGACGCCATGCGATCCCTATGGGGCTCGGGGTCAGGCTCGGCGATGACAGGCATGGCCGGGGAGTCTCTAAGGGCCTTGCGAGCATCTTCCTCGGCTTCACGAGCCTTCTTGCGTTCGAATCTTTCAATGTCAGCCTCCCGTTGTGCCTTGGAATACATGTGCCAAAATTCCGAAGGAGTATCAGGTGGCCTTTTGGAACCTTTCTTATCTCTAACCAACCTCACCCCGTCCCAGTTATACCCTTTGGGGACTTTCTTCCCGTCAGGCATGGTTTTGGGGTCATGTCTTGGTAGAGTAGATGAGGCCTTAGGCACGGATGTTGCTTCCTTAGAAGATCCAGGAGCATCCCTCCCCAGCCAGTCCTCCACAGCTCCGACATCTTCGGGAACATAGTCCTCGTTTTCCTTAGCCACTTGGTCCAAGTACTCGGACAAACGATCCTTCAAATCGGAGCCGTCCAAATCAGGCACACCGGGCGGAGGCAAAGGCTCGTCCGGCGAATCCCCAGGCGGGGCGCGTGGTCCGGCACCATCTGTGCCTCCCCACGAGCAGTCCTGATCTGAGAGGGTCGGCTTACGGAGGCTCTCCTGCAGTGCAAGCTGTTCGGATCTCATTGGGAATGTGAAATCCCCAGGCAACAACTCCATTCGCTTCGACCTCAGAATAGGAAAGTTTCCTATCTCGAACGCAAAGTCACAACCCTTGACGGGGGTGACGAGGTATTCCTCCTTCCAAACGAAGCCAGGCTGAACGTGGTAACCAAGAAATATTCCCTCAACACCAGTCGGCGCAAACTTAGAGCTCGCAGGAATGTTCTGTTTGGGGTTGTTCCAGTACAACACACGTGCACCAAAAGGAATCATGATCCCTGAAAACGGTTCCCCATACCTGGCCTCCCAGGGAACAATCCCGTTGTCAAGCCTCTTAGTTGCATTAAGTGCCATCGCGCGGTGTTGGGCGGCCAACGGCCAAAGCTTGTCGGGGAGACCCGCCTGAACAAGGTTGGAGCGGGTACCCTCCAAAATCGTCCGAATTTCTCTTTCGATTACCGACTTGTTGGTGTCCACATATTCGCGGGATGTAACATGTCGGACACCTAGGCTTTTGATAGCGGCATGAAGTTCAGGTGCGTTGTCTGAGTAGAAAACGCCAACTGCATCTTCTTGACCTAGGAAGTGAAGAAGGTCTTCAAAACACTGATCGCTTGACTTAGTCGGAGAGGGGTAGACGTAACGAAATTTGGTGAACACGTCCTTAACAACAAGTGCGACCCTTTCGTCCTGGAACCCATGGTCACGAAGGTCACGAGTGATGATATGGTCAACAGTGATGTGATCCCCAAAGGCCTTTGACACAATGGTACTTGAGCCCCCCTTTTTGCGGGCTTGGGGAGCCAACATCTTTGCGCGCTGACATACCTCGCAGAACGGATTCTTGGGCCTGTGCGAGAACAAGTGCTCAACAGATTTGGCTTCAGCTTTCAGATCGGCCTCTGCAAGACTGCGGGCGTTTCCTTCGTTGTCACTGTCAGGTTCAACATCGGGGTCTTCGAAGATAGTGAGGCTCAGGATTGGATTACCCTCCAGTCGGGCAACTTTGTTGTCAAGCTCCCTGACGTTCACTTTATCCTCAACCTTGACCCAAGAACCTTCCCTGAACAACCAAGTAGATCTGACTTCGCATCTTGGAAACCTTGGTGTAGCAGTACGAAACGTCTTTGGTTTGTGTCCGACAATCAAGTACTTAGCATTTGGGTGCGAAACCCAACCTGGTCTTTTGAGCTTCTCTTTGGGGATATCTATCGGCGGCACCTCATTGATGGCTGCGGAGATCTCAGGATCGGGGTGCTCGACCACTGGATCTCGTTCCTCTGCTGCTCCTGCGAAAGCCTCGGCCGGCCCTATTGGGCGGCAGTTTTCTGAAAACCCTCGGACAAAATTGGTCGTCCGAGAGAACCTGAGGCTTCCTCCTTAGTGCTTGGAGCGGCCATTGCTCCTCCCCCTAGCACTGGGACCATACCTCTCATTCTACACCTTAGTCTTTGACCATTGGGCGCAACAAAGTAAGGCGGCCTTTTGGGGTACCAGTGGAACTCATAACCGTCCTCCATGCACCTTCTGCCTACGGAGCAAACAGGAGGGGTGCTGTTGAGAACATAGAACTCTAGCTCTTTGCCAAACTCCGGGAAGTCGATCCTAACCGACTTGTCACCTTTGACGTTACCATTAGCAGTGATGAGATTCACTTGTCGTGTTGCATTGCCTACTGGCTCTTCGCCGAAGTACATAGCACGATCAGCTTCGCTGATAAGGTCCTCCTCGCTTCCTGTGTCAGCAAGGAATTCTAAGGGTGTGGCGATCCCTGGACAAGCGATCTCTGAGCTCTCAACGACGTGCTTGCACATCCCACACATGAGAGAATCAGGCTCATCACACTCTAAGTGGCAATCGGTCTTCTCTCCCCCCTCATGCCGGGCAAGAAGCATCTTGAGTTCCCTTGCGTTCCTAATTGCAACCTGAAGGTCGTTAGCGTCAGGCTTAGGGCAGTTTTCCGCATCAGCATAGCAAGTATTGTACCTGCGAACTTTGTAGGAATGTTTGTACCCCTTTCCCTCAAAAGGGATTTCCCTGACTTTGGGTTTGTCGCAAAACCTGACCTTCTTGTTTTGTTCTTTGATCTTGAAAACAGTCTTGCCGGTCCACGGCATCTTATCGCCGGTTTCCCCTCTTCCCTCTTTCCAGTCCCAGTTCTCCTTTGCAGTGTATGGAGAAACGGGAAGCGTCTTGATCACTTTGGCCTTACCCTTCAACCTTTCAAGAGCAACAGGACATGACACTTCGGGCTTGTACATAGTACTTCTGTACTTCAGATGGTGCCTAACAGCTTCACCCCTTTTGAAGTCTACTTCCCAGTAGTCTTCGTCCCCATCTTGTGGTTCACTCTCATCAGGACCAGCTGAGGCTGCAGCCGCAAGCGAGATGCAGCATGCGGCCTTCCTATCCTTTTCCTTAGAGCGTCCACGGCTTGGTTTCCTGCGCGTTGGCGCGGGTGACGGGGACCTTGGTTTGTCTGGGCCCTTAGGGGCCGGGGCTGCGTTTTCACCACCTGGGGGAGCAGGGCTCGGTTCCCTATGCAAGAAACGACACTTATCTCCCCTAGTGCACTTTCCCTTCTTCCAAAACGTGCAGACCTGTTTCTTCTTCGGGGCAGTGCGAACAGGGGATTGCGAACGGGGTTTGTGCGAAAACTTGCACTTGTCACCCCTGGTGCACTTACCCTTTTGAAAGTCGTAGCAAACTGGCTTTGGGCTTTGCGATCGGCTAGGTGATCTAGATCTGGATGGGGTCCTGGAGCGAGACCTTGATTTTGAATTGGACTGGCTACCGGCAGAGCGATCCCTTCCGCGGCCGCTCCTCGACGGAGGGCGTGTCGGCCTTCCGCCTTCAACAACAGGAGCACCAAACTTGTCCCCATGAGACTTGGCGATTCTATCCCTGTTCTTGCGCATCCTTTCACGGGTCAACAAATCCCGGATTGACTTCAACAAGAACGCATAGGAGTGTGAGGCAGAACCCTCTTTCGCCCTGTCGTAGATTTCCAAATCATACTTCATTCTTGAGGACTTTCGGATTTGCCGAAGAAGGATATCACGCAGAACCATTTCTTCTGGGACATGACTCATGCCAGCAATGACTGATTCCCAATTGTGCAGAAATGTGGTTAGATCGTCACTATGCAGCGTAACCTTCAAAAGGTCTTCTACCGAATAGAGCGATCCTACCTCTTCATTTGTTTTGAAGTACTGATCAAACATGAGCAAGACCTGGCGTCCTCGTACGGCACGTCCTTGAACCGCCTCGGTTTCCTTGAAAGTGAGTACCTGTCGAGATAACTCACCTTTGGCGACCTTAGTGAGAGCGGCTAGGATTTTGGTATCCAGCGTGAGAAACTTACCGGGCTCACGAAGCTTGTCATGATCAGCACTCTTAGAATACACCTCTAGAATCCAAGAGAAGGCTTCATCTGGCCTATCTGAAGCTGCCCTAACTGCTTCCCGTGTTGCGGTTTTCCATGCACGGTAGGTTTCGGGGTTAGGGAAATCCGGCAGGCGGATGGTTTCAGCTTCTTTAACCTTTGGTTTGTCATCTTCACCGCTTTTGTCTCCTTTAAGAAGCTTGGCGGCTTCAAGCAGCGCTTGCTGCGTCTGTGCGATTAAATCGGCTCCTGTGGCTGCCGGACCTCCCGGCGTGCCTGTTGGGGCCGCAAGACCAGGGGCTCCGGCGTTCAAACCACCACTAGAGAATCCTAGATTTGGGACGTTAGCTGATGCTGTTGGGGTCCCTGGGGCAGAAACCGGACCCTGTGGTCCTGTTGGAGTGGCAGTAGTTGCCACACCGCCAAAACTGAAGTTTGGAAACAATGCCCTGATGTTCATCGGAATCACACTCGGATCTGAAAACTGAGGGGCACACGGAGCACTAAGCCCGGCGCTTGGCGCTGGAGCAACTGGGGCAGTGGCGCTGGGAAACTGAGCTTGCTGCGAGGGATTGATACCTAAATTCCTGTCCTGTTCGAGCTGGAGCGCACGCTCCATTGATGATAATTCATCTTGGAGGGTCATGTTTTGAATCCTCATTTGCTCTTCAGTTTCCAGGGCTATACTGCGGTACCTTTTCATTGCCTCATCATGCTCTCTCCCAAACCATTCCCCAATCTCGTTAATGCTTTCCCTCTTGTTTTGTTCAGCCTCTTCAACCAGAGTTGTCCTGAGACGTGTGATTTGCGAACCAACATCGGAAAAATGTTCTGACTGAAAATTGATTATCTGGTTTTGTTGCTGGAGTTCTGAAAAGAGACCTTGGGTCCTCGCGACAAAGCTATACCTTTGGCTAGCAATTTCAGACTCAAGTCTAGCAACGACTTCCTCGTGCTGCCTGTTAGCCCTTTCTTCAACATCTGCGATTTGTTGATCATGGGCTTCTTCAGCAGCTAGGCGGAACCTCTGGTGCCTGGACTCTGCTTCGTTCTCTAACTCAGTGAGGAGAAGTCTTGTTTGTTCAGGTGTTTCACCTATCGTGATGTTCTGCTGAAACTGTTGTCGGTACATGTGGATCTGCGGAGCTCCTAGTCCTACGAAAGGAGAAGGTGCGTTTGGCGCAAACACATTAGCTGCTGCTGCATTCTCTTCCAGCACTAGGCCACGGCCATCCGTAGACGGTGGCATAGCCAAAGTGCCTGAGAGGTCCATCTCCGCGGATTCTGCGTCTGTAAATCCGTCTGTACCGAGATCAGTTGCTACCTCGGTGGGGACCAGCTCGGGGCTGTCACCCATGCACTGAGTTGAAACTCCAGGTCAGTGGTGCCGCAAGCTCCGGGGAGCCTACGGCTGATAACCTATAGTTTGGGAAATCCACCAGTTGTTATCCGTTAAGCCATGAGCAGGGGCGCGCCTAACCTTTTTACTCAGAGGGCTTGAGCGGCACAAGTAAGTGCAACATACATGGAAGCAAAAGTGGAGGGAATGCACAGATATAAAATACAAACTCCACGGCGGCAGGGAATCAGACCTCCTGCCGCAGAGACAATAAAACCTGTACTCCCTCCACTTAGGCTGCCCGCCTCCTCCCCCCCCCCCCCCCCCCCCCCCCAAAACAAAAGAGAAGATAACAACAACAAATAATTCAATAAATAAATAAATAAATAGAGAAAAACACAACAATGAAGCTTCGAACTTTTTGGGTTAAAAAGGGCTTCTAGGATTTAGGGCTGATCATGTTGACAGCTTCGGCCCCGGGAATGTGGGGTTGGGTGGTCTGGGGGATAGGTTTAAGGTTTAGGGTTTAGGGTTTAGGGTTTAGGGTTTAGGGTTTAGGGTTTAGGGTTTAGGGTTTAGGGTTTAGGGTTTAGGGTAGGCTGGGCTTGATCAACCCTAAACCCTGGAAGCCCTAAACAACCCTATGAGTTCGAAGCTTGAGGTTTCAACCTGTTGGACCCGAAAAAAAAACGAAATCCCAAACCCCAAAGAAAGCCGAAACTCAGCGCGCCGGGCCGCTCAAGCCGAGACCTCCCCCAAAAGGCACCCTGCAACTCGGTAGACTCCACGAACATCCCCAAACTTTGGGCGCTAGTTTAGGCCCTCTTAACAACCCCCTCAGAACATTGCCCTCAAGTGTTGAGAGTGCGGCAAGGCAGAGAGACGAGATTGGCCAAATTGTCCATGCAAATGACGCAGCTGGCCTGGGCATGTCCCCTGGTGTTCTGGCGAACATCGACTGAGAGGCCTAACCCCCCAAAAAACCCTAAATGCTAACCTCAAGCCTTTAAACAACGGCAAGTTCAAATGGGCAGGCTTTCAGGATTTTCAACGCGCCCTAAGCCCTAAAGGGCCTCGCGGCACGCATTCTGCGCTGGCATCTTCTGTGCTGAATTCGTGGTTTTGCAGGGCCTATAGGGCTTAATACTCGTGATATAGCGGTTAGGGTTTGCACGTTTGGGGCTTAGGTGTAGGGGCTAAGGGCGATTTAGAGTGTCGATGGTGCGGGATTCAGGACGTGCTACATGGCCCCCAAGACCAGCTACCTAACACTCCAAGAAGGGGCTTGAGGAGAAGAACCACCCACACACAAAGCAGAGCCAAACTCCTCCCCCCCCCCCCCCCCTCCTAAACCCGCCCCCTTAACCCCCCCCCCCGCCCAACACATCCCCGACTGCGCCTGTGGCGTGTGCTCGGCCTCTCCAGGCAACTTCTTGGGCTTTTCTGGTTTGGAAGGGTTTAGGGCTTAAGGGCTTAGTTTACGCTTCGACCCCACACATGGGGGGTTAGGGCTTAGGGTTTCGGCTTTTGGGTTGGAAAATTGATCCAGGACGTTGTTCGGCCCATACCCACGAACATACTCTTGACGAACCCCCACATGGTTTCACAAGGGGTATGGTCTACAATTAATTCTGTTTGGCACCCTGATGCGCCAATTTATTGTTCGCCCCCGTCCCCGAGTCTTCCTTACCACTGTTGCTTCGTTGGGATTACTTAGTGGGGAGGGGGGTTCGAGTACCGGTCCCCAAACTCTCAATCCCTGTGCGAGTTCAGGGTTTCAGGGGGTTTTAGGCCCGGTGCACTTAGATCCTGCTCCAACGACTTTGGGCCTCAGGGTCACGTGGATCTGGGTTTAGGGCTTGACTAGGGTCTGGTTAGGGTTTGGCCCGCTAAAAAATCGGGTGCCGCTGGGGTTCCTGGCCTAAATCGCCTTCCCTCAGCTTCCCGAATCCCTTTTCAGAGGCTTCGTGAAGCGCAGGCCCAACTCAAACCCTAACGACTACTTAACCCCGAAGAACTCATTCTGTAAAGCCCCGACAATGACAAAATTTCGATGCAGCCCAACATCAACTGAATCCCGTTCATGGGACATTTCTCTTCTTACTCAGCTAGGCGGCGCTCCGCGGCTAGAGACGCGGACGCTTGTGCACTGCAGCTAATCCTCTTAGGGGCCGCGGGAGCAATTATGTGCATTAGAATCGCGGGCGAGATGTACGAGTGAAACAGGGCTGGTCACTGATTGCAAACGCCGTCCTGCTTCTGACGATGGCACCAACTTACAATCGACTGCAACGCCTACGGGGTTGAGGGCCTACGCCTGCTTCTGAGGGCGGCACGAATCTACACAAGAGACAACCCCACATCATTGGGGGCCGAAGCCCAAGACAAAAGCCTAGCAACACATCTCCACGGGACAGGAGTCCAACGTTGGAGGAGATGTGGGTGTAGGAGGCTTGAGCAAACAAGGTTTTTTGTGTTGATTTCCGTGAGAGCCTGGCACTATGTGACATCCCATAACGCGAACATCTCGTGTGGCGGTAAGAGGGACATGAGCTGTGGTCACTTCACATTGTCTACGTGTGCGACGGCGGGTGCTTTGACAACAGGTTTGCCCAAAAAACTGCGTCTCGTTCCATCTGTATGTGCCAGTCATAAGCTTGTTATCGCATGTGCTCTGAGATCCATGAAGATGATGGTTACTGGGTATATACGGTTTAGGGTTTAGGGTTTAGGGTTTGGGGTGGTTTGGAGTTTAGAATGTGTATATATACATAATGCACATCTGTTAACATCAACTCTTTAATGCAGCACGGCTTTTGATCATTCGGGGTCCCTATGTGTCCACTGTCATAGCGCCCTTTTCCGGCAACAAAAGGCAGAAGAAGGCCACCCGAACCAACCCCCCCGAATTCCCTTCACCCCAGTTGCCCACCTAAACCCTAAACCCTGAACCCTAAACCCTGAACCCTGAACCCTAAACCCTAAATCCTAAACCCTAAACCCCCCCAAACTGCGGAGGCATCCTCCCAAAACCTGGCCTCCCGGTTGCTCCGATGCCGCTCCGCCTCTTCAAGGCGCCTCGCCAAGTCCTTGCGCTGTTGCGGCTTAGGGTTTAGGGTTTAGGGTTTAGGGTTTAGGGTTTAGGGTTTAGGGTTTCGGGTTTGGGGCTTGGGGCTGGGGGCTTGGGGCTTGGGGCTTGGTAGGCTGTGGAGTTGATGGGGTTGATAGGGTTGAGAGGACTTGTAGGGTTTATAGTGGTTATAGGGTTGATCGGGTTGATTGGGTTTTTAGGGTTTTTAGGGGTTTTAGGGTTTTAAGGGTGTATGAGGTTTAAGTTTAGAGGGCTTAGGGTGTTAGAGCTTTGAAGGACGCTTAGGAGGCTTTGGGATGTACGGTAGGGCCCTGCACGCCCTAAACCCCAAGCCCTTCAGGAACCTTGTCTAGACACAAGAGTAGCATAGGAATGAAAGGGCGCCCTTTATGGTTTTAAGGGGGAATCTAACCCCCCCCCCCCCCCCCCCCAACAAAAAAAAGAAAAAAAGGGGGCATAGTGGCCTACTCTGGGTACCTGAAGTGTCTCTACAATGAGGTTTAGGGTTTGGTTTAGGGTTTAGGGCTTCAGTTTTAGGGTTTAGGGTTGAGGGTTTAGGGTTTAGGGTTTAGGGGGTTATGAGCAGCGAGTGTGGTACTTCTTCGGGGTAGGCGACACTTGTCTGAGCCGCCGACCAAGTTCTCTTGGTTCAGGGCATCCTGCAGACATGAGCGGAGGTTTCTGTCCATGCGCTCTGGGCACCCTACTAGCCCTAAACCCTAAACCCTAAACCCTAAACCCTAAACTCCGGCCCAAATCAAGCCCTTAGGCCTTGGAAGCCTAAACCCCACAACCGCTGAAACTGGAACAGCCCGTCCGGATTCTCAAAGCACTCGGAAAGCTGTTTAATGACAGGGCTTGTGACGTTAATGGTTCTCACCCTAAACCCTAAACCCTAAACCCTAAACCCTAAACCCTAAACCCTAAACCCTAAACCCTAAACCATCGGCACAAAGTTACGCTTGCAATGGCTGTGCCTTCAGGAGGGAGACTGCCGAGAGCTGCTGGTGGAGCTGCGAGATCTCCAAGGACCCGCCCGCCAGTGCCCTGTGGGCAGAGGGTTCGCGGGGGTCGCTGGGTTTAGGGTTTAGGGCTAGGGTTTAGGGTTTAGGGTTTAGGGTTTAGGGTTTAGGGTTTAGGGTTTAGGGTTTAGGGTTTAGGGTTTAGGGTTTAGGGTTTAGGGTTTAGGGTTTAGGGTGAGGGTTTGAGGGGTTTAGGGTTAGGGAGGAATAGGTCCCTAAACCCTAAACCCTAAACCCTAAACCCTAAACCCTAAACCCTAAACCCTAAACCCTAAACCCTAAACCCTAAACCCTAAACCCTAAACCCTAAACCCTAAACCCTAAACCCTGACGCCGTGGGCGGGAGGCAAACCGCAAAAGCTGAGGTGCCGGCTGCTGATCTCGAAGGGCTTGCTCGTAGAGCAACTTGTACCTCCAGCTATTTCGGGTTTAGGGTTTAGGGTTGAGGGTTGAGGGTTGTTACGGTTTAGGGTTTGGGGTTTGGGGTTTAGGGTTGTTTAGGGTTTAGGGTTGTTTAGAGTTTAGGGATAGAGCAGCTTGTACCTGCAGCTACTTAGAGTTTCGGGTTAGGGTTCAGGGTTTAGAGTTTGGGGTTTAGGGATAGAGCAACTTGTGGGCTGTTCAGGGCTTAGGGCTTGGGGTTTAGGGCTTAGGGTTGTTTAGGGTGTTGAGGGCTTAGGGTTGTTTAGGCTTCTGAGTTTAGGGGTCAGGGCTATTTCCATAGGTTTTAGGGTTGTGGAGGGTCTTAGGGCTTAGGGTTGTTTAGGGTTTAGGGCTTGAGGCTTAAGTCTTGGGCTGCTTAGAGCTTGGCTTTGTTCAGGGTTCAGGGTTTTTCAGGGTTTGAGGTTCAGGTTCCCTCCTCCATGCCCGATGTTCGCAGGCATTCTCAAGCTAGCATAAGGGGA